ATACGTTGCTTTCTACGGTCTTCATTTAACACAACCTTCATCTTCTTACTGTTATTATCGCTAATATTACAAGCACTGGCTACTATTGATATTACATGTAGCGTTCATCGGGGAACGGGTTCCCCAATGGGGAATAAGGCCCCGATAAATTCTTCGACAATTGCGAGCCCTTGCACAAAACGTATTCATGTGGATGGAATTTTGAATGCTTTGCTCCTGAGGCCTTCTCTCCAATCATTTTGGTCCTCGGTGGGTTCCCGCTCAATTGCCAAAACGTTGCTCCTCCACGAGCACTGATTATAATCGTTATTTTCAGCAACAATGAATTTTGCACTCATCCGCATTATTATGTCCACTTCTTTAACTCCGATAATGAGTGCTGAATTTGGTGTCTATCTTCACTGCTTTGAGACGGAGGGGGGAAGGGAGGTGGGCTATATGGTTCATTTTCATTCCATTTCTATGTGAACTACAACCGTTTGTGTGTCAAAATCAAAATTTAAAGCTCTTTTCAATTTCTATCTTCCATTCAAATTTGCTTCATTGTTTCCGTTAATTTCAGCTGATCGCCACTCACGTTTTTGATCATTTCAACACTCTCAAATTTGCCATTATTAATATTTATTTGATGCTATTTCAGTTTTCCTCAAAATTCGCCTTTCCATTCGAAAAGAGGTACTTTTGAACGTGACTGGCCGTAACCCTTTTCATTAATTACGTTCTCCTAATGAGTGCTGAAGCATTACTGTGTTCCTTTTCGATTCACTTATATTTCCATTTTCCGTCTCTCGTTCTGATTTGATAGTGATAATCTGATAAGGAAATGGTTGTTGATGAAAATAAATTTCGTAAATGCTGCTGCTGGAAGATATGCAAAAGTATTTCAACAACGATCGCTGAAAGAACATTTACCCTCCACGATTACGGATTGTATAAGTTCCCCGATATCGTTTTAAAAAAGATTCATCAGCCTAGTGTTTTTATCTTAACGCTTTTTCGCTAGTAAAAACAGCTCTCTAACATCTTTATCAATACTATGGCGGGTTGAAACCCCTACTTCCCTTCCTCTACGGAAGGGTTACTTTTGAAGTGTTTCTGAAATACTGGTTCATACGGAATCTTTCAAAGAGAAGTCGAATAAAGTACTGCAAAGAATGACACTATAGGAAACAAGAAAATCATAAAGTGTTTACTACCGATTTGAATGCGGTATGAGACAGATGGGTGACGCAGTAGATATTTGATCATTACAGAGGAAAGAGCTTCCAAAAAAAATGAAAATAGCATTGCTCGAATTAAAAAGAATCGTTTTTTCGGATGATCACAGACGGCATTAAAATTTCGAGGGTAAATTGATGATGAACTTAATGGTTGTTTCAAGTATGGCTGGTTTGAAGTTATGTTCGACGAATAATGATGATGACACTAACGGAAGTAAAAGTGATTTCACTTACGACGAGAGCTTTTTATTAGACGACATCACAGCAATCGTCAATGATAACATCAACATGCTGTAGTCATTCGTCGAAAATACAGTCATGACGGTATTGGGAGAATTAATCATCCAATGAAATGCAAACATTCCTCAGACAATCTTTTTTCAGGGTTAATTTCATCGAGCACAGGTGAAAAGTTACGAATTTAATCATTTCATCGATCCATTCATCATCATATCGGCCAGTCATCACCGACTGCTACTAGGTATTAGTTTGATCTTATATTATCTTTGATGCTCTTGTGGTTATCAACTCATCTCACCTGACAAACCACATTCTTTTTTTTGGTATTTCTATAGTTTGGGTGAACTATCAATTCATGCATATGAACACCATCCAGTTGTTAACATCATACAGATACCCTATGTGGAGGAGATTTGGAGTCATATTTTTTCAATCTAAAAAAACTAAGCCTATTTATATAATTGAGATTGATGCACACCAAGTACGGAAGAAGGCGATCTGATTACTATTTTGAATAAACATCCTGTCTAGTTACGCATTAATTATTGTTTTTTGTTTGACTATTTCTATCACTTCATAACGATTCGCTTTATCTGTTGATAAAGCGAATCGTCCAACGATAAGACATCCAAAAAATATTCATATATTCCATCGTTTATTCGTGATCTGCCTAATACCATTTTGCTCACGAGAAAAAAACAGATCAAAATCGTGTTCTCATTCAATGATGGATCATTTGTTCGTCAGTCTTTTTACAGCCTGTTTGCTATCGATTATACTCTCATTAAAATGCTTCATTATTTAGCATGCTGAGGAATTCATAGTCAATTGTTGTCTTGATTACACAGCAATACTTTTTTCATCATCACTGTGCTTAAAAAAGAATTTTAAAAAGATAAACTATCGTGAATTCAATCGAACCAATGAACATTGCTCTGTGATTTTTTCGTAAATTGGAATTAAAACTTGTCACTCTTGCAATTAAACTTGCGAATGTATCGAATTTGATAACTTGTTTAAGGTTTGATTCTAATGTGCTTATATGATTATGTAGCCCTCCCATCTTTCATCAATCAAATAACTCATGAGTACAATATAAATTTATATATTATGCAAAAATCACTCATGTGCATTTTCTTCATCGAACTTTCGTTCGTTTTCTTACAATTAGTGTAATTCCATGAAATGGCCGAACAAGTATTTCCGTCTTCCTCTTCTTCAGTCAAACTCATCCATTATTTTTTTCTTACTTCATTTCAAGAATTTCAACGGAGTTGCACTTTGAGCGTACTCCAGTCCTGAAGGTTTTTAAATTCAACTAAAAAACAGCACTTTGGTGCTGCTTGAAAACGGAATTCACAAGAATAAATGAATTCAAAATGTCAGAACTAACGATATCGCTCCTACATGAATAGATATGTGCACAAATATTGTTTACAAATATTATTTAACAAATATCATTTATGCACAAATATTATTTACAATGACTTTGGATAAGAATTCGTAGCAATCAAGCGGACAATTCAACGACTTGTTAAATTGACATTTGCGCTTGTGAATATATATCCCTTGTTTACCGTGTTATGATCCCAACTTCTTCATTCGATTAGATCACAAAGAATTGAGTGAACCAATCGTATCGTATATAATCGTTGAGATTTTTTGAGAATTTGAGAGAGATTTTGAGAAAATACGATTGCGAACTTTATGAGTTGGAGATTCTTTTTACAGGTAGGATATTCACTCGAAGTAAGTGACACTCAGTTATGTGGCTTCGGAAGCATGATCATCATTGTATTATTATTTTATCAATATCAATCATCTTGAGTGTTAGCAACACATTTGCGTCGATCAAAAGTGAAGCCGACAATGATGGGTGAGTGAATTTTAATTTCAGCAGTGAAAGAGAACCTAAAAAACTATCGAAATCAACGATTCATTCCTTAAGTTAGATGGATGATATGGTTAAGAACAACGCATAATTTCTCCTATGAGTCTATTCATGAATCAAATCACAACCACATTTTCAGTTAGATCATCTGGAAGGCTCGAAGAGCTTATAAATTAGCCCAATGAGAAGAGAACGCGATTCTTTTCTTCCGCATAGAAATCAGCCCCTATTTTTTGCTCATTTTCACTTTCCTTTTCTGCGGAATTCCAACCGTGAAGAATTCATTCGTCATCTCACAGGAAAGATCCAAAAGGCTGTCTCAAACGAGTTACAAATGCAAAGCAATGCGAATACATTATGTGTTGTAATGCGAATACATCGCCTTTTCTTATATAACGAATGCAGAAAGGAGCATTTGCTCGTGTCGAAAGGGAACCAAAAAATTTGCACTCACTGGTTCATGAAAGAAATAGTAGAACGAACAAGATCTCCAAAAACAATCTTAAGAGATAGAATACAGTATCAAGCAAATGATCTTCTTTTTCTGAAAAAGCATGAGGATCTTAGACAAGCCCATAGTCTAGATCCAAAATGCCTAATAGTTCCGTTTTCCTATTGATTAACAACTCCAAGTAATATCGAAATTTACCCAAAAAAAGCTCATTTTAACTTGACTACAGGCCTGGTCCACTACAATTGATGCATGTCATATTTCCCATTTCGACATTGCCTTCATCTCTACTCGAATCTTATTTCAATAAATAATATATCAAAAACCTTCAAAAATTGATCACCTCGAATGTCATATTTACCGAAGTTTTTTAAAGGCACTGATATGATTATATGACATCCACCATAGTAATTTTTTTTTAAAATCGAAAATGAACAATCCTGCTTACTAACGTTTCAAATGAATTAACAATTGGTTTATGTGTTAGAAAAAATATTTCACTGTTTCAGAAAATATAAGGTGATTCGTATTTTTCCCCAAGATGCTGAACAATTCGAATTGATGAGGAATTTATATAATAAGCAGTCAGAATTACAGGTAAATTAAACGCTTATTAAGATCATGTAACATAGGTACTGCATGAAATAATGAACTTGTTGAACACCATGACTGCGGTTTCTAGCTGATCAAATTATGCATTGTTAAGGAAGCATTTACCAGTAAAATATTGCCTAAAAGCAGTGGTTTCTATTTTTCATATTTATTGCTTATTTTTGTACTTCACCAAATTGTAACGTAGAATATTCATCGTTATATTTATGTCACCCAGTTTATTATCACTTGCATGAGACTAGTCGAACAAAAGCGAGAAATTATGTCTCTAGATATCAACCTCTTCCAGCTTTTTACTCATGAGTGAAGATATTAATTATTTCACACTAAAATTTGTTGTTTAAGCGGTTTGAAAGATTCTTCCTAAAAAATTCGGTGATTCAGCACATTAATGTGACATCAGTTGATTTTCAGCTTGATTTTTGGAAAGCACCGACTGCACTAGGGCACTTTGCTGACGTGATGGCTGAGCCAAGTATTGCAAAACCTTTAGTGAATTTTTTGAAGACTAATAACATATCACACATTGTCACAATTGATGATGTGCAAAGGTGAGAATTTCCAAAATCAATATTTCTTTTGTTAAATTGCCAGTTAAAATTTTTTTAAAATTTTATTCCTATTAAAACTTTAGTTAATATTCTGAAATGAGCTATGTAAAAAGTATGAAGAAACGGATAACATTTAGCTACCAGTGAAGTGAGTCGTTTCCGAAAATGATGATGCCATAATAGGCAGCTAGAAAAAGAAAGGTGCTGTGTACTGAAGCGAATTTGCAAGAGTGCTTAATGTCGACTTGATTCACCATATTTNATTTATATAGATTAACGATTGAACGCGAAGGTCGCAATCCGTTGACATCTGCAGTTGGCAGTATGAATGGAATTGCCGATTCTGTTTTGCAATCGTTTTTGAAACGATCCAAAGACGTAACTCCAAGTCGAAATAAGGCGAAATTCGTTTTTGGTGAATATCACTCATACAACGAAATGATTAAGTGGCTGAATGATATTGAATACTTTTATCCACATATGGCTAAAGTGTTCACTATTGGTACAACATATGAGGGACGACATATTCGAGGTATTAAGGTAAGTAATGAACTAGTTAAAAGCGAATCGTATCGAACTCTAGCTAGTAATAGACTCCATTCAAATAACAAGACATTATGAGAAATTGCTTGGAATGTAATCGAACTCTATGAATGATTTTCTTCGAATCGGTTCTTTTTTCCTTCATGATTCATCGGTGACTGAACACTGTTTCAAATGATTTTGTCAAACTTCAAAAAAGTCAGTCCGGTGATAATTCAAATCAAATGTGGCAAAAACAACGGTTGCCACATTGGGAAGTGTGGTTTATAGCTGATGTCATCCGAAAACCATATACACCTTTACAGATTGGTAATCCGATTTATCGCACAGATAAGCGCATAATTTGGATCGACGGTGGCATACACGCCCGTGAATGGGCTGCCGTTCATACCGCACTTTATTTCATCGATCAGGTAGAATACGAATTATAAATTATGTGAACGATTGCGATGATGCACAGCAATGAGGACTGATTGCGTGCAAATTTTGCAATTCTTTTTACAATTACGCCGGCATTTTAAGTTTTTTTTGTTCATTCAACGATTCTCGTTGATAAAGAGTGAAGAATCTGTCTTGGAAAGGATTCCCTAGACAGAATTTCTTTATAAAGAGTTTTCGTATTCAGCCGTCTCAGACTTCATTTGAGTGAGTTTTGCAACATTAAGATACTCACACTGAAAATACACTCACTACATCGGATGCACTAGAATAACTTTCAGTGTAACTTTAGTGTGAAATAACATCTTTCAGTTGATCTCACAATATGGCGTTGATCCGCAGATCACCTCGTATGTCGATACACTTAACTTTTACATAATTCCAGTAGCAAATCCTGATGGTTATGAATATTCGCGATCGGATATAACTCCCCAGGTAGGATTCTAGATCATGTTATCCTATGGCTTCATTGAGTTTCGTGAATTTATCCAAGATTTCCGAATGCATTTTCGCTCTTATTTATTCTTTTGCTTCCATATTTCGAGCGATAGTCTATGAAATAACAATAAAAATCAATCGAGACCGAACATGAGAAAAATTATCAGCCAGAGAACGTGAGAATTCTACTGTTGAATTTGAAGCGCAATCTTTTTTATACCGAACAGATTTTGTAGACAAGGTTTTGGAGAAAGAATAGGGGTCAACAAATCTGTAAGAAGGATCGTTGGAGACGAGAGCGTTGCTGCGGTGGAGTTGATTTGAATCGTAATTTTGATTTTCATTGGGGAGGTAAGCACTAAATCTTTTGACCCGATACTTACAATTGAATTTTATCGCTTGTTCAATCCTCTAAATTGATTTTAAAATGAGATGTAATGAATGCATGAAAATTTCCGAATTGCAACTGAATTTGTGTAGTCTTAACTTCACTAATAAGTTGCTTGTTAAGCATAATATTTTTTGCAACCAGTGAGAATATATCACCTTTGGATTATGCTCAAAAAAAACAGTTGCATTTGCAATCGTTCATTATACGCTTAACGTTGCCAAAAAACAACGACAAAATCAATTAATCTATTGGTTTATTCACGTACTTTTTTATTCCTTTGCGTTCATTTTTTCGGGCGTTGCTCTGTCAAAATGTAATAGCAATAAACAATCGAGATTAGAAAGGAAAAAAATTGCCGTATGAGTAAATCTAATAACTGATAATCGCAAGAATTTTATTGTTAATCGATGAGTTTCCTTATCTTCAATCACCATAATAAAAGAAATCCATACGAAATTTCTCTTCTATTCTATGAAATCAGAACGAGTAACAAACAGTGATGCCTAATTTGAAAAAATTGACTCAGCTCCGGCTTCATGTTTTTATAATTATCGGCACCAGTACCGCTTTTTCAAGAGTTCAGCTCCGGCCTCAAGTCTAGTTCCGAAATCCGCTTTGCTGTGCTCCGTTTCTGACTCCAGAGCAGTGCAGACTCAGAAAAAACTTTCATGCTGGCCTTAGCTCTGGCTAATGAAAATTGCTGCAATTCTTTTAAGGGAGTCAAAAAAATCTTTTTGGTTCCGGAATTCTAGTGAAATTCTGATGATGAATGACCATAGATGAGACCTTCCCATTCTTTAACAATCATATCATCATTTATAAATCAAAACGTTCAGAAACCGGTTCGAGTTCGGATTCATGCTCGGAAATCTATCAAGGAAGTGGACCATTCAGTGAGCCCGAAACAAGGTCTGATGCTCATCCGTTTTCATTATGATTGAAGATTCTGCTATAAAACGATTTAAATATGATGATGTTGGCCTCTACCAATTAGGAGAACTTTTAATTCTACCGCAACAATGGAAACTTTGAAATGAATTTCAAGAAGTTTTTCCTCAACTACTAAAGCTATAATGTTCTGATTACACAGAGCCATTCGCGATAAGATACTGTCACCAGAGTTGTACGGCAAAGTCGATGCCTTCATAACCCTTCATACGTACTCACAAATGTGGATTCATCCGTTCAATCATCAGAGAAATACTGTTCCAAGTGATGTTATGGATCTCGTAAGGATTTTTCTCGCATATTTTCGCGTTGATAACAACCATTTTGCAGACAGTAAATACACACATCTATAAATTGATTGATCACTGTTCGGCAGCGAAATCCTTTTATTTCATGTGGATATGAATCCATCAAAACAATTAACAAACATATATGAATGTGGTATTATTGTCCGATACATACCAGTTTTAAAAAATTCTGCTCAGAAATCTGATGAGAACGTGATCGTATATTCGTATCGATCAATCATCATATTTGGAGAATTTTTTTTAGGAAGAGGTTGGTAGAAGAGGTGTGAAAGCGTTAGAAAGCGTTTATGGAACAAAGTATCGATTCGGAACTGGGGCGGATATTTTATGTGAATTTTGGTGTTTTCTTGTAATCAGTCTTCGCTTTTAGGTCAAAAATTAGTGTTGAGTAATATTTACAGTCGTTGAAAATTTGATGACAAATTGAAACGTTGAAAATGTTGTTCGTTTCTTGTTCTGTGGCGGCAAAGAAAAAAGTTTGCGATCAAAGTATAATTTAGCTGTCAGTTAGACTGCGAATAGCTGATCGAAATTTTCACTTCCACATTGTTTTTGACCATAATTTTTTTTTCAAAATATATTCAAAATAATGAATCCATCAACGTAATCATCCTTCATTGTGATAGATCCATCGGCAGGAGGATCAGATGATTGGGCAAAGGCTAAGGGCAAGGTGAAATATGTATATTTGCTGGAGTTGAGACCCGATGAAGATGGTATATACTTGCACATTTTATAATACAAACATAGATGCATTGAAATTGTGTTAACATTCACTAATTATTGAATTTTACATAAACTTATTGGTAGACAATTCAATTATTGTTTTAGTCCAATCCTTCAATCCATATCAACTAAGTGAACTTGAAATAAGCATTCTGAATAAAATTATGAGCTGATAAAATATGAACAAATAATGTTTTAGAATGGGATGGATTTTTATTAGACAAACGTGAACTTATTCCAACAGGACGTGAAACATGGGCTGGCGTAAAAGTGGTTATTGATGCTGTCATGAAAGGACAACGTATCATCTTTTTCTATTAAACCACCAGAAATTTCTTGAAATAGACTCTCTTAGTCACACTTAAAGAAGGATCAAATAATGATTCGCTTTTTCGAATTGATTTCCGATCGATAATTTGATTGATTCCTTCATTTACTACCGGCTCATCTTTTATGATGTCAGAGAAGAGAGCGTCAAAAATCGTGAATTTTATTAACAGCAAAAATAGACGAACTTTTCATGAACGCATAACTACAAACTTTCACATTTTTAGGTGCAGTTGCACCAGCCGTCTCACCAACCCCGATGGGTCATTTGAATCAACAGAATGCACAAGTACGTTCTCATAGAATACCCTACATCATTTCATCAACAAAATTCTCAATCCGCCCTCATATGTCCTCCTCAAATCAGTCATCCATCTCAGCGAAGTGGATACTCATTTGTTTGAGCAAGCGCGTCCGATTGAGAGTGTTACCACTTCAAGAGATGCCAGGCCAAATGCATGAAAAAAGCTTTAAAAAGATTTCTTTGGGGAGTCAAAAACTGCCGTTCACATATGTAATCCGATGCCAACGTTGAGCTTACAACATCAGTTGCTTTGATTTGCGAAAACAAATTTGCTTGGACATTCTTGCCGCTCAAACCATGCATGATCCGTTTTCGACATACTTTTTTATGGGGTTACAGAATCAGACCAGGAGTTTCAGTGGTGACCAACTATTGGAAAGGCGGAGAAGTATTGTTTGAATAAGAGTTCAAGGCTTGCTGATCTCTTTGGACACAATGAATTCTGTCTTTTTTTTTGAAATTTTCATTTAACGGGGAATAAAACTTACTGAGTTTGGAAATGAAATGAAATTGATTGAAAACAAAGAACTCTTCAGTTTCGAGCCCAGCAACGACGCAGAACAGAGTTGCATCGACGATTAGATGGTAGTAGCAATGGAGGTATGTCACGAGTATCACAAGCGCGTGATAATACTGTTCGAGTTTCAAGACCTTGTTAGTGCTTCATCTAGGTCAAACTCATATGATGCCATTCTGTTCGAAGAAACAATACACATGACTAATATGTACAAAAGCGAGAATAACAAGAAAACTGAAGTCAATCAGAGTCATTCCAATTTTAATGGATGACCTTCATTTAACTGTGACATAGAAAGATTATACTAGCAATTTTACAAAAATTTTTCATTTCAAAATGGTGAATGCCAATGTAAACGATTATTTTCAGTTTCGGTTCAGTTGCTTGAATCAGGTCCCACTTGTATAAGCGATAATTTTATTCAATTCCAGCTCCACTACGATTACCACTCGACTCCAGAACTACTGTAGTACATTCATCTTCAGATTCATCTTCGATGAACTGTGTAGATCGATCACCTTGGTGTACTAGTTGGATTGAAGCAAGTCCAGATGTTTGTCAAACATCCAAAATTTATATGGTTCAAGAATGTGCACGTTCTTGCCAGATGTGCTGAACACGTAGAGCTGAATTCAAATGTAATTAAAAAGCACTCTTATGCAGATATTTCAAAACATTCAACTGCCTAATGCTCTCCGTCACATTTTGTATGCGTCTGTGTGCATGTGTCCTTATAAAAGTGTTTATTGATTTGTTTCTCAATTCAGAATAAACCATTTGTTCATTTGATAAATTGCAATCTATGCATTCTCATAACCGCTATTCATACCCTAACCTTATCAGCAGTAAAACACTTAACTATTATACTAAACCACAATGCATATTTAGCTGAAACAATCAGTAGGCTATTTAAAAAAGAATGAAAATTTTGCCTAGTATACTCGTCAGCGACATTCCTTATCGTAACTTGTATGTAACGAAAGTTAAATGAGTTGCATGCAAGAAAATACAATGTATGTGACTGCTAAAAACGTGAAATTTAATTGAATAATGTGTTGTTGCAAGGTCTGATTTGAGCAAAACTTTTAGTTCAATTCAAAAACGCGAAAAGTTTGTTGACACTGCATTTGGACACTCTTAATCGCATAGAGCGCAATATGATTACAGTTACGAAACTATGCGAAATGTACGTTTTTATCTCGGTGGTTCTTATGGGAGGAAATTCTCACTGGGAGAAAATTTGAAAGTGCAGAAAGAGGAACTAAGCAGGGTATGGTCAGTGGCGTAGCCAGGGCCTCTTATGGGAGGATGGGAGGGGAGTGCAAATGATCTGGTCCTTAAAAGAAGCGGGATTTTGGGATCGACTTTTCTCCGTTAATTTTTCTTCGTTCCCTCTCCCCTCCTTTCTTTTCCCTCTTCTGTTCCCCACTTTTTCTCCCCTCTTCCTTCTACTCCCTCCGACTTTTCTCTTCTTTTCCACCCTCCAAAAGAGGAGGGGGCGCGCGTCCTTTGCGCCTCTCCTTGGCATTTTTTTTTGTTGTGTCAGTAACAAGTATAGATCGTCAGATGGAGAGGATGGGCCTTGATGCCACACAGATTGCCAAAGGTGTGGAAAAACGACTGGCTATACGGTAGTAAAGGGGCACGGTACGCATGAGCATGAGAACTAATGATTAATACTCACAAAATATTCGAATATTTGAACGACACAAATTTTTATTGAGGGAATACAATCGTCATTTTGTGATACATGCCATTACCATATTCAGAAAGAAAGCTATGCGGAATGGTTGAACTCTTGTTACTGAGAAGTGGATTGAATTATTCGCAGAAATAAGACAAGAGAAACATCAAATATGTGAAAATTGAGTAGTTCAATGAGTTTGGATCAGTGGAAACTTAAGAAGGATAGCTAATCAAATCACTTCAAACATCAACATTGAATAGTGACAAATCATGACAGTGATTAGTACTGAGTAGTTGTACTTGTTTCATATTAGAACACTTCCAAATGGCTGATTGAGTTCTCAGCAGTGCAATAAAGCCTCGCATCAGGTCACACGATATTTTGGATGATAATTCGGTGCCGATTACGAATGAACTCGATCAAGGTGCGCAGTACGTGTAAGAAATCCTATGATGCTGAGAAAATATACGATACGTTTCCAGATGAACTTTTACTTGCAGGATCTTCTTCGAGAGTATTCAGGCTGACTTTTGCAGTGTTAGTGTTTGTATTAAAAGATATCAGGGAAAGAAGAAATTCGTGATATACAGCTAGGCTTTATTAATGTGTCTTCAAAAGAGTAGTTCATTGAGATTATCTTTGAAAAATGCATTCATCATCGACACTCTCCTCAAAATTCCATCTTCACATCCCAACAAATTTAATTTTTACTTTCGAACGGAACACAATGAACTGATCCTTTCTAATTAATTCAAAAAATTTCGCTCCAAAATATGGCAACACTCCGACAAAGAACGTTTATATGAACCAGAATTCCGTCATATATGAGAAGCTCTATAGGAACAATAATAATCATAACAACACGGATTATTACTATTATTATTACGAACTACAACAATATAATAATACTGACAACCCATGTTCTGAAAACATGAAATACCTTAAATAATTGAGCAATTATCATGCTTCAGGCAGATTACAAAACGTCAAATTAAGGACAAAAAGTGAGAGAATTGGAAGAAAAGAAACATGGGAAGAAAAAAGCAGTGAAGAAGCAGCCAACAAGAAATGTCTTCTTAGCATACAAAGTGTATTCATATACATCCATGAATTGCTACTACTATCTTGCTAGTTGTAATCAGTTATAAGTTCTACATATGGCATTGCTGTCGATAGCCGAATCAAGATCTAGTAACGATGGTTTGATGAAAAGATCGGCCGAAAGCAAGATGGCATGATCGACAATACGTAAATGTGGTCGTAAAATTGATATTGGTAATGTTGATGTTGGTAAGTCAACCGAGAAACCATCCTTCAGAGCATCATTAGCCATCTGAATAAAATGTTCACTTAAGTAGAAAAATTGACAATCTTCTTGACTGAAGATCATTTTGTCGCAGACACTAAAATTAATTTGATGAGTGCAGCATTATTAAGCATTTCATTTTTGATTATTCACCTTTGAGATGAATCCCTTCGCGAGACTCGCCAAATTATCGAACGTATCCTGTGAGAGCCCAAGTGTTCCTCCAGGATCCTTCAACTTCAATACCTTCAGTTGTGCTGTACCAGCCACACGATTCCCACTGGATCGAATCGTACATTCAATTACGGTCCTCACTTGTATTGTGCCAACTTTTTCACGCGTTTCATCATCAAGATAAATTTCTGCATCAGCAAGCAGATCGATTGTCGCGGTACCTCAACATTCGCTTTATGAGTAAGCAAGACAACGCAACTTACATTATCGGTTTCAGTTTGTTCCAACAAAAACAAAACTTGTGTTATGGCGAGAAAAAAAAGAATGATCCACGATAACAATTGAAAGAATTTAATTTGAATTGAGAAAAATGCGCGTTACCGCCATTTTTAGAAGCGAATATGACAGATGGCGCTTGGGCTGTATGAACTTGAATCGTAAGATTCTTATTGGGATGCGCCTCACGAATAGCTGGCATTATATCACCAATGCAAATGCCAAGATCAGCTAAACCACCAGTAGATTCAGTTTCAAACTCTTCGATAGATTCAATTTTTTCATCGTTATTATTGGCTTGACGTTTGCGGATATGCCTCGTGGAAACATTCATTGATGCAGCAACATCTGAATCTACTTCCGATGCGATCGCTTCGGTCCCATCAAAATCATCCTCACTCTCCTCATCCAGCTGCAACACAAACAAAGACACTATTTCTTCACTATTCATTAAGTTTCTATACGACAAGAACTTCAAAATGATAAGTTGAGTTTGTATTAAACGATCAATGTAAATTCATAATATCTGAATTGATGTACAAAACCCGTCCCCGCTAAAACAGATGGTTGACTGCAAATAGTAACTGCATGATCATTTATTCTGAAAACTGAGATTAATAGCCTACTTCAACGCTCGTATCATCATATTCATCATCAGAGCAGGTCGTCTTAAGAAGTGCTCCAACTTTTGGTGTTTCAGGTCCCACTTTGAACGATATGAAACCTCGACTGAAAATGAGAACGACTAAATTTTCTGCATGTCCTAAACGATACTATTTTGTTATGGGCCAAGCCATCTCCACTACAATTGAAGTACATTATGCTTAATCAATTATTGCGTTACACTCCAATTTATTAGATAATCGCATTGCACAGTCGCATTCCAATTCAGTTGCACATTGCAAAAAGTCAACCGTTACGGTTCAAAGAACCTAATTTCATGAATTGCTCTTATTACAATCTCCGTTCTTCCAGCCATTTTTCCATAACATATAATTTCAATGCATCTATCTCTGTGATGAAAATAAGCTATTGAATTTAAGCCAAACTGTAATGTTATTCATTAGAATTGTGCACACTTATCAAACGATGCTGGCTGCTAACGAAACATACTTTTGCAATTGATATGCAAGTGAATTAATAGTGAAGTCACTGAGGAGTGCATCCACCATTGGATTATTGGGACTTGGTAATGGAGGGTACATCGGAAACGCATAGAACGGTGCATGGCCTTGACCATTCCCATAGAATTCACCATTCAGTTCGATTGTATAATCATTTGGTGTTGCATAGGCGCCATGAAACTGGGAATTCAGAGAGATACCCGAAAGTTTATTCTGAAATGAAAAACTGAAAATTAGTATCATTTAAGCCATACAATTTACTTCCACTTTTCAGCCAGATTTTCAATTATAAAATGCTCAACTAATTTTTCTTCATTGTTCATTTGATGAATTTGCGATCGTCGAAATTGGCATAACATTTTTTTCGTGGACGCAACAGTATCGAATGCTTCTCGAAATGAAACTCGGTTGGAGACTTCCTTTTGGAAACGATAGTATAAAGATTTGCTCGTTTATTTTGTATTCTTAGATTAAAGCCCATAGTTTATAGATTAGACGCCTGCTGTCGTTGCCGACTCCCTCAATCAAGACCTAGTTGACGAACCATGTCAAGAAGTTTGATAACATCTTGGATTGCATGCATTGGATCGGTATCACTGTTATCTGAACAGCCTGTACAAGGATCGTCGTTGTCACTGTTTCGGACGAATCGGGCTGATGATACTTGTTTTTTTGAGGTGGAATTGACTGAGATAGCGGTACGAAGACGATGTTCCAGTAGGGTTATTATTGCTGCATTGTTATTATCACTGCTTTTTCGTGGTAAAGAAACCATTCGTAGCCGACGAGTGTGCTTCACTGACACGACCGGATTACGCTCCTGATGAAATTTTGTGACATTCACACTTTCAAACTCAAATGAATATTTCAAATATCACCTTCTGAAAATGATGAATATCTATGACTGAATTGTTGCACTTGCCCTTCAGAAATAACTTTTGCACAAATGAATGAATAAGTAACTAGAGGAACTAAACACTAAAAAAAGAAACTTATCAATACGGATATCACACAATTGTATTAGAAGTGTATACCTGCCGGACACTACCCTGAAATTTTGTTCCCGAACGGTTAGATGATGCGCTGTTATCAGTTTGTTGTGATTTTTTAGAACGATTCGAAGATTGCTTCTGGCATTGTCGCTGTAGACACTAAAATCAACAATTTTATGTTTCAGTGTACTGGAATGAAATGAAACAAAACGGCAATTGAGGAAGGAGCACATTCGAATGATTATGTTAACTACATACATACGGTAGCATCAAGAAGTAGAACAGACAATAAAAGAGTAGATAAATGAAAGGTGAAATTAAAATTTACACGTTGTGGCAATGGTTTTTTGATGCGTCCAATGAAACCATTAGCTAATGACGTAATTTGCGTCAACGGAATTGATTGGGGTATTTGGTGCAGTCTTGGATTGATGCGATCCATAATAATTTTCGGTAATGACTCGCAAATTTTCTTTGGAAGTACTGACTGAACTTGTCTCGAAATTTTGGCCTAAAACAATAATCAAAATCAGTGAATGGTGAACATTTTCATTAATTATGGTTACAAATCACATACCCGAAATTGAGTGTTAATAATATCACCGATAATACCACCGTTTTCAATGAACGCATCCACATATCCGACTTGTGCTGTGCATCCAACAACTCGAATTTGAGATGCTCCATTCTGTGAACGTTCCAAAACTGTTTGAAGAGTTACCGAAACCTGGAAACGTAACAAAATTTTGATTCGCAATCGGAATTTCTCGAGTCTATCACATGTGCATGATAAGTTAGGATATGGCTCAAGTTACCTGTGCAGCAGAAATTAAAATGTGCTACGTCGCATCGTTCAAAATGCTCATTGTTATCTAAGAATGGTGAAGAGCAAACTTTTGCTATCGAACAATACTGAAAACTGTCATTTCTTCTACAACATCGAATAATGTTATTATGTAATTCATCGCTGATTGGTATTTTTAAGTACGGATTACCTTGAAAAATACACATACTTGTTAGCTGTCAAAGAGTTCGTCTGAGAACAAATTGAAATAAAAATTAAGCAACCACCGTCCTCAAGTTCCAGTTCGCAAGGTTAGAAAAAAATTCATTTCAGACAACAAAGGTCAACGGGCACAAGCATGTTCCATATATTCTACATTACATTTAGATTTTTTTTTTCAATTTATTGACTCATTTAATCATTCATTTGTTCATATATTTATGTTTATGCACATATGTATTAGGGTATGATAATTCCGTACGAAAAAAAAAACTCCGACAAGCGGAGTCCCCAGTTCAGAAGAATTTGTTAAAAAACAATCTGTGCGAAATTTCCGTAGACGCTAATGATGCACGACTGTCAAAATTTCCTTGGATCTACCCCCAACATCGTGTATTTCTGACTGGGAACAACTTCTGTGAAAATCCATCGAAAAAAATTAGATTTTAAGGTTACGCCATCCATATTGTGCCTTAGGTAAAACAACAATCTGAGCAAGCAACCTTTCAGATTTATTTTTAAAAGCAAACTCTCATAGAGATTGTTTCTAGGTAGAAATGCATCTTTTTGAGGGGTGAGACCATGGCAATTCTGAATAGTGAAAGTTACGCAATATGGCGTTTCGAACCAAAAACAAGTTCACTTAGCTACCTTTCATATTAATTTTTTGATGTGAAATTTTTCATAGATCGTTCATAGATCGCAAACCAAATGACATGCACTTCTGCGCTGTAATTTCAGAAATTCAGGCATTCCAAAAAAAACTTGTCACCCTGATATGTATGTGATGATAGAAATGATTTCCGTGCTAATTATGCCTAAACAACGTATTCTGAGCACATAAAGATGTTGAAAGAAACCTAAACTTAAGGTGCTTGGTGCCTCTGGTCAATCCAGTAATCGAGGTGAACATGTGGAGCTCTATTCCAAAAAGAAATAAATTTTTCGATCGATAGTATTTGGTGAATATTCGCCTCGAATAAGAATGCCTATTTGAAAAATCGAATGAGAATCAAACAGCTTGATAACTTCAGAATAGAAATGGCTGTAGCGCGCTATCGTTGCTAAGCGAAACAAAGCGAAAAGTTTATTTGGCTATTAGCTATTAGCGAAAAAAAAAATGAAGCTGAAGTCATTGAAAACGATTACTGGAACAAACAAATGGGTGACATTTGAAAATACTCGTCTTTCAGCAATAAACAAATGACTGGTAATTGGTATTAACGTAATTAGTATACTCAACGATGAAAGCATGATTTTGGGGCAATAATATTGATGAGTCATAAAATCTTATCAAAATTTCGATTGCTTATGTGAACGATGCTCTCAAAAACTTTTATGGTTTGCTTGTGTAGACAATGCAAGTAGCATTCGTTGTGTACGACCGCAATTAGTTATGCAAAGCGTTTTCATTGATAAGTATTTTTTAAATTATTATAATTACAAATTATGACCGACCGATAAGTTACATTCAAAACATACCTGGTGAGCATTCGTATGTGCAATACCGCTTAGTCCAATTGGAAGCAAAATTTCAATCTGACCTCCAATATTACCCGTAACTCTGAAGATGAGGTGGCAAATTGTAACGCGGAAAAATTGTATTATCAATTTGCGAATCTATTTCCTTGCTTGAAGAAACGAAGTTAATGATTCATTTTTCACTTCAGACCAGGAATTGATTCCAACAGAACAGTTTACGTGGTAAGAATTCACTTCGATAGAAGCAAAGGATTATGCTCTTAATGTTTTTTATTCATCGATGTGCATACGATGTTTAATCGAAGGCTCCCTAAGGCTATATGTATCATAAACAGAAATTTGAATCGTTTACCCGATATCCAAGTTTTGAACTGTTATTATAAAACGATTCGGTGGTGCTGGATAAACGATGACGCGCTGTGGGCATCTGTATCTCGAGACGAATAGGTTATAAACCGTAACACAGCCATTGACCTGTTCATATCATCAAATATTTACTTTCTTTTTGGCAACCTTTTGAAAGAGTTTCATAAAGTGATTGATCTGTAATTGGAAAACGGACGCTGAGGTATTTGGGCTTTACGAAAAAAACTCCAGAAGAGGTGGAATTTCATATGTGCAACAAATTGAAACTGAGTACGTGTATAATTTCATTTTCTAGAAAAAATGCGAATTCCTTCATTCGACTACATCATTCAAAAAAATGGTCTATTTTTCGCTGACAGTCCCAGTGGGACACTCAGTAATCTCCCCGTTGTTGCGCCACATCTGGAAATGAATGCACTGATAACAAATGGCGGCGTCAAATAGGCGACGCCAAAATATACTATGTCCTCGAACGATGATGAAAGGATTGAGTGGAATAAAAACAGTGCCATGCATACCTGTGGTGTACAGTGCGTGAATGCTGGGATACGCGCTCGTTGAATTTCGCTGTTCACTATGGTTCCGAACAAAGAAGTGGCGTACTTGAAGGCACGATGGTTAAAACGAACTTTAACACCAGGGTATCGTCGATCTCCACCATTCAGTGACGGATTGAATGGTGCATATGATAAACTGCTGTTGTTGCTGCTGCTACTGCTGCTGATAAATTCATCGATATATAATGAAATCCGCAAATTTATGTTATACAGCTTTCCGCATATGAAACATCTGTCGTGCATTTAAAGAATTAACTCACAAATGATAGCGGAACGTCAATTTTGTGCGGATTTCAATATTCGACAATTCAAATAATTAACTGTATGATGAACAGAAGTAAACAAATTGAAAATTATGCTTATTTCGTGTTCGCTTACTAGTGTGACGATGGAGCATGGGCAATATTTGTGTTATATGGGAAAGACTGTGTTTGAAATAAATAGTGAGTATTTGTTGGATAGGCAGCAAAAGTGGGTCGATAGCTGACCGATGGATGTCGTTTGTGCCTTATGACGTTGGCAGATGCGTTGCAATTGTTAGCAGGTAATACTATTGTTAGTAATAACTAAAACGAGCTATTAAACATATATCATTAATGTCAACGGTGATTGTTTATCAAGGTTCGTTGCAAATGAATGTGTTTGATGGTTATACATTTTAATGAATTATAAAATGATTTTTGTACAGAGGATTGACTTTTAATCGATTTTGCATCAGTATTACAATTCGTTTTTGTGGATCACAGTTCATCACTGTGTTATGGTATCAGGTAGACTTATCATAGTGGTATTATCACTTAGCAGTAAAGTTTTTTATTATTTGCAGTCATTTTTTCATTGCTTTTCAGTCAACTTCCTGCGATGATTCCAGTTATGTGATTCATTCCTCCGTGCCATCGCTTATCTTTGAGATATTCTCACTTCCCACAACAATATATGATTACGTGATAATAGTGAAGTAAAGAATATTGCTGATTTTGTAGCAGATTAATGAACGATGATACGAAGAAATGGATTACATATTTGGAATCAGCCCAAAAACTGATCCACAAACTTGATTAATCTAGGAACCAAAAAAAATTGAATAATATAAGTAAGCAAAAAATAAACTTACAATATGGAATAAGACATGATCACAACGATTCATCACCGACCTCACTGGAAAAGAGAACAATATTATGGTGATTTTCAAACGGGCGATTGAATATTTGTTTTACTCATGCATAATTCAAATGTGATCATTCACTCAAACTCTCAGTAAAAACAATTAAAAACTAACTGCGTCAAACAAGCAAATCAGTCTTTACCAATCAATTTCGAACTGATGACAAGAAAAGAGCTGAGGTGGTGTTGGTGCAGTGATTTTCAGTGTTCTTCTCACTGTCGTTGAGATCGATAAAAATCTCAAGAAATGATGATACTTTTTGATCGATTTTTTGTTGCTTAATGATTGTCACAGCTGGTTTTCTGGGAATGATTCATTTATTTACGGTTCGTATTTTCATGCTGCATGAGCATATTCTATAGTATCGATACTTTAATTTGTTACGCAAACAGTATCGTAATACAACAAAGTTTATAGTATCATTTTGTGCTTCATCATTCAATCTCATAAAACTGCTCCTGTCTTCGCCCATCCTTATACTGCAATAAATTCACCTTATTTTAACTGTCACCAAATAAGCGCATTAAAACTAAAACCAGTCTGCATGAATCTGTATATATATATATATA